CATGTGCGTATTTTAAAATTTCTAAATTCCATTTTTGTGCAGCTTCTATTGTAGTTCTCTCATCCCATGGACAACCATTTTCATGAGCATATTTTAAGCATTCTAAATTACCACTAGAAGCAGCTGCTTCTGTTGTTCTTTCATCCCACGGACATTCATTTTCATGTGCGTATTTTAAAATTTCTAAATTCCGTATATATGCAGCTTTTGTTGTAGTTCTCTCATCCCATTGACAACCATTTTCATGAGCATATTTTAAGCATTTTAAATTACGACTATAAACAGCTGATTCTGTTGTTCTTTCATCCCATGGACATCCATTTTCATGTGCATATTTAAAAACTTCTAAATTCCCTGTAAATGCAACTTTTATTGTTGTACCTTCATCCCATTTACAACCATTATCATGACAATATTTTAAGCATTCTAAATTACCACTAAAAGCAGCTGCTTCTGTTGTTCTTTCATCCCACGGACATCCATTTTCATGTGCGTATTTTAAAATTTCTATGTATCCATTTTCTGCAGCTATTATTGTTATCATTTCATCCCATGGACAACCATTTTCATATGCATATTTTAAGCAATCTAAATGACCACGAGAAGCAGCGGCTACTGTTGTTCTTTCATCCCACGGACAACCATTTTCATATGCGTATTTTAATATTTCTATATTTCCATTTTGCGCAACTATTATTGTTGTTAATTCATCCCATGGACAACCATTTTCATATGCATATTTTAAGCATTCCAAATTACCAATAGAAGCAGCTGTTTCTGTAGTGCTTTCATTCCATGGACAATCATTTTCATGTGCATATTTTAAGCAATCTAAATGACCATGAGAAGCAGCGGCTTTTGTTGTTCTTTCATCCCATGGACATTCGTTTTCATGAGCATATTTTAAGCAATCTAAATGACCCTTAGAAGCAGCGGCTATTGTTGTGCTTTCATCCCATGGACAACCATTTTCATGAGCATATTTTAAGCATTTTAAATTACGACTATAAACAGCTGATTCTGTTGTTCTTTCATCCCATGGACATCCATTTTCATGTGCATATTTAAAAACTTCTAAATTCCCTGTAAATGCAACTTTTATTGTTGTACCTTCATCCCATTTACAACCATTATCATGACAATATTTTAAGCATTCTAAATTACCATTAAAAGCAGCTGCTTCTGTTGTTCTTTCATCCCACGGATATTCATTTTCATGTGCATATTTTAAAATTTCTATGTGTCCATTTTCTGCAGCTATTATTGTTATCATTTCATCCAATGGACACCCATTTTCATGAGCATATTTTAAACATTCTAAATTACCACTAGAAGCAGCTGCTTCTGTTGTTCTTTCATCCCACGGACAACTATTTTCATATGCGTATTTTAATATTTCTATATTTCCATTTTGCGCAACAATTATTGTTGTTAATTCATCCCATGGACAACCATTTTCATATGCATATTTTAAGCATTCCAAATTACCAATAGAAGCAGCGGCTATTGTTGTGCTTTCATCCCATGGACAGCCATTTTCATGAGCATATATTAAGCAATCTAAATGACCATAAGATGCAGCTGCTTTTGTTGTTCTTTCATTCCATGGACATTCGTTTTTATGAGCATATTTTAAGCAATCTAAATGACCCTTAGAAGCAGCGGCTATTGTTGTGCTTTCATCCCATGGACAGCCATTTTCATGAGCATATATTAAGCAATCTAAATGACCATAAGATGCAGCTGCTTTTGTTGTTCTTTCATTCCATGGACATTCGTTTTTATGAGCATATTTTAAGCAATCTAAATGACCCTTAGAAGCAGCGGCTATTGTTGTGCTTTCATCCCATGGACAGCCATTTTCATGAGCATATATTAAGCAATCTAAATGACCATAAGATGCAGCTGCTTTTGTTGTTCTTTCATTCCATGGACATTCGTTTTTATGAGCATATTTTAAGCAATCTAAATGACCCTTTGAAGCAGCGGCTATTGTTGTGCTTTCATCCCATGGACAGCCATTTTCATGAGCATATATTAAGCAATCTAAATGACCATAAGATGCAGCTGCTTTTGTTGTTCTTTCATTCCATGGACATTCGTTTTCATGAGCATATTTTAAGCAATCTAAATGACCCTCAGAAGCAGCTCCTTCTGTTGTGCTCTCATCCCATGGACAGCCATTTTCATAAGCATATTTTAAACATTCTATGTACCCATTAATAGCAGCATACATTGTTATATCTTTGTTTAATTTGTATCCATTTTTACAATCTAATTTTAAAATTTCCAAATTAACATTATCATTATCTTTTCTCGTCATAGATTTTTTAAGATGGTTTATTTCTTCGTCATCCGAATATTTGTATTGAATTGCTAAATATACATATTTGTTTTATTAGTTTTTGCTGTATCGAAAAATAAAAATTATGACTTAAGTGTATCCTCAAATTATGATTGTTTTTATCATTAATCATAATTTAGTCATTCCTTAATATTCGATAAATTACAACATTTTGTATGAATATATTATTATTAAAAAAAAAAATGGTAAATTATAGAATATAAGGTAAAATAAAGTATTTTTGTAATTAAAAATTCTAAAAAATAATTTCAATGTGATATTTCTTTGAGAAGAGACATAGCTCTCCTAATCTATTTGTTTTTAAGTAACTATGAATAAAACTAGAGAACAATTGATTAAAATATTTTTGGAAATAACTGAAAAAGTAATTTACGCATTAAACGTTCAAAGATTTTTTTTGTATTTTGTTGGGGTTAAAAAATGTAAACGGTATTGTATAAAAAATTGTTTTCAATATTTTTTAATCTGAATAATAATTATTAATTAATATTTAAATAACATTATTTCGAATTTTCAATTCAAATAAAATTTATTCAGATAATTTTGAGGGCGTTCATTAGAAACTGATATATTTAAATGATTAAACTATATAGAAATTATTAAACAATAAATCTTTATAAATTATTTGCTTATATAATTCTATTTGCGAAGAATAATGATTGCAAATAATTAGCAATCTTAATCAATTGTATAAATCATTATAAAATAATTAAATTAATATTATTTAAATAATTTTTTCTAACATTATTTAATATTTAAGCTTTCTATCTCTTTTTTTATATGTATATTTAGGGTCAGAGAAAAGATGCTAATGTCAATATTTCTTTTTTTAATGGGATTTTAAGAAAAATCAGTAAATATGCACAAAAAAAGTCATAACATTGAAATTCACTGTTTGCAACTATTTTCAATTTAAGTATTTTAAATGACGACGGATTAGATATAATGGTAAAAATTTTTATTTGAATAATAATATTTTAAAGTAATTAGAATAAATTGAATAACTTTTTTTTACTGA